CTGCCTCCCTCCCAAGTTTCTGAGATTATACGTGTGAGCCACTGTGGCTGGCCCTTCCTTCTTAATACAAACTTAAAGTGCTTTTTAAAAATGCTAGGAGGAATCAGAGAAATGTTTAGTACAAAGTAGAAATATTTCTATCTCTATTTAAAGCCTTTTGGACCTCCAGTTAAGATTTTGGTTATTATATATGAAGACTGACACAGCAAAAGTAGAAACTGTCAATTAAAAGAAATCAAATAGAATATGAAAACTGGGAAAGTTGGAATTACCCTGTCTAGGGTGATGTGTTGCTGCTGATAATCAAAATGCCAAGAAAGAAAAACAAAGGCAAAGGCTAGTGACTGACTGTGAATGGTGCTGTCATTTAGATCCTCCCTTTTTTCCAAGCTTGTCTCAACATCCAAAGGGATCATTTGAAAACCCTAATCTGAACCTGCTGCCGTTCCCCCATTCCTCCCATTCTGGCCACCCTGGACATCCTCAGGACAGGACCTGTGCACTGACCATTCCTGCAGCCTGCCACCTTTTCCTCAGATATCTGTGTGGCCTGATCTATCACTCCGTTCAGGTCTCTGCTCAGAGCCACCAGTTTGGAGAAGCCTTTCCTCAGCACCCCACCACTCTCTGCCCTATCGTTTACCCACTGTTACTCTATTGCATGGCCATTGTAACTGCCTGATGTTAAATGAAATCTTTATTTGTGTATGTCTTCTTAACTGGGATGCTAGCTCCACACAAGGGGGACTTTGTTGTCAGTCACCACTGTATCCTTAGCAGAAATGGATGAAGTAAATGGTGGACAAATGTTTGCTCAATGAATAGATGAATGGATGAATAATGATGCCACTTCCCAGCTTAAAGCTCTCCAATGATTTCCCATCATATTTGAAAAGAAGCTCAAATTCCATATCTACAGTCTAGACTCTGCCTCACTCTCCAACCATATTCTGTGCCACAGAACAGTTGTGTTCTCCCTTGCTCCTTTACACCATGGCCTTATTTCAACTCTTAAATAACACAGCCTCAGGTCTGCACATTGGTTGTCCTCTCTACCTCGGAGCCCCGGTCTTTGAATTGCGGGCTCCTTATTCTCATTCAGATCTCAGATCTCATTCAGATCCCTTCCTCAGAAAGGTCAGGCCATTTTTGACCCTTCTTACTCCCAACCCTCTATCACTCTTTACAAGTACTCACACTTTGTGAAATTACTCTATGACAAGTTTGATTTTTATTGTCCATCTCCTCGGACTAGCTGGTAAGATCCACAAGGGCAGGGACCTTGTACATCTTATTTGCAATGACTCTGGTGCCTAGCACATTTCTGACACATAGAAGTCAGTCAAAAAGTATTTTTTGAAAAAAGAATGGATTTTTCAAAAGGGGTGGGAGAATTATAGACCTCATTTATGTAAGGAAATATAAACAGTAGTTTTGAAAGAGTTTGAATTAATTTATGTCTGAAGCAACTAATGAATCATTGCTTTGAACTGCATAGCCTCAGATAGCTAGATTGCCCTTTTAGGTTTCTCTCAGTATAAGGGTGCTGAAAGACATGCCCATTTGCAGGTGGCTGCTGTTGATGGGGCAGATTCCATTCATGGCGTGGGATTTATGGGTTTGATAGCTTTGAATTTAGATGTCTGCTGCCCTGGGGTGATAGAAATATGGGCGTACTCAACAGCCTTGAGACACCAGCTGTCCTAAGGATGAAAAAGATATTTCGCAAATAGATAAGCCTTAATTATCCTGTTCCTACTGACTTTGTTTACCTTGAAGAACACTTCCTGACAATAGATCCTTTGATGTCTTCCCCTTAAATAAAGAATTTGCAGGCCTTTTTTCCTTTGTTCAAGAACAGACCCATCAGGTCCAATCTGCCCACCAGGCCCCCCACTATAAACTATTTTCATGTCTTTTTTCTTTTATTTCTTATTAATCATTTCCAACTTTTAGTTTCTCAGCTGGCTCATACCTCCGTGCATTTATCTAATCCATTAAATAGGACACAGTGACAAATTTACTTTTGACTGCTTATTTTTTATTATTGTGCTTTCTGAAGCTAGCACATCAAGCAACACTCAAGACTCAGGACTGCCATACTGAGCTTGTTTTGTGTTTGTGGTGGAAACAATGTGAGGTTGACATATCAGTGGTCTGGTGCATCACATTTACTACATTTTTCTAAAATGCTTCAATTTTTTTTTAATGACTGTCCTTTGCTGAAAAGAAACTTCTAATATCTGTTTTCCACCTCAGGGTATATTATTTAACAAGATGGAAATATTTAAATATGCTGGAGAATGTTACAAAATGGTATCATCTATTGGAATTCAGGGAAATATATTAGACTCCTTGCTTAAATGTCAGAGTCTATAGCTAAAACTATTCAACATTAGAATTCTTCTCCAATTATTTTCCAGATTTGATGATTTCCTTACTTAGTAAGCATTGATAAACTGAACTCCTTTTGCATAGAATGCTTTTCTTTCCCTCAATTTCTACATAGGATTATATGTAATTCTTGGTATGTTTTCTGGGAGCACTAGAAATGGTAAAGCAATCCGAGACCCAGGAGGTGTCTTATCTTCCCATTATCCCTGGGCAGAGTCCCATGATGCCAGGGTTCACAAGAAGAAGATTAGTGAGTACTGTAATCTCTTGTAATAAAAAGAACAAGGAGAGAGACCTCAGTAACAAGCTGGTCCTCCCATCATTCCTGTAATACCATTTTTATCTATTGTTATTTGACTTGGATATTTTGATGTGGGATGGGTATGGAAAGAGGAGTTGAACATGGGAGAGAACTGTGTCATAGGTCAGGAGACTTTCTCTTTCTTGAATAAATCTTGCTTAGAATGCATATTTGGTGGAACTACAGAGAAAACTATTGCTCTGACCCCAAGTAGGCAATCCAAGACCAGGAAACTTAGATCACATAAGCCAAATCTGTCTTTGTTTTCCCTTGAAGTTGCTCCAGACTCCAGTGAGCTTTGGCTACTGAATACCTATAACAATGGACCCCATATCAAGTTTTTGTCACCTGCTTTGTAAGCTATAATTTTTACATGATTTGGAAGTGCTATGTAAATGCACTGGGGCATTTCACTCTTCCTGAGGAACATCCAGTGTTCTTCAGGACTGACCACAGACAGTCTAGAGTTCTGGAAAACACATGTGATTATATAGCTTACATCTTCAGAGCATCACGTATTTTCACATCATGGAAGAAGGGTTTTCTTTGCATTGCCAGAAAGAGTACAAAGAGGCTTTGAGTCCCAGGTATGTCCCTATCTCATGCTGTAGGCTGGGACGAGTCACATCTAATCCACTTGGAGCCACCAATATCCAAATCTCAATTAATGCCTTGTGTTTTGTTCACTATGTCCTCACACCTCCATGTATTTGCATCTCCTTGGATTGGGAAAACCCACCCTCTTTCACCTATTTGGTTCCTCCTGCTCTTTTGAGAGCCAATCTCAGTCTTAGTTCACCTAGGAAGGCTTTGGACTCCAGTGTTCATCAGCCCTCTGTGTTTCCCTGTCTCAGAACACAAATCACACCAAAGCAGACTTTTTTCTTTGTTGTCTGTCCCACTTAAGGATGGGAACAAGGTTTTTTTTTGTTTGTTTGTTTGTTTTAATTACCTCTTCACTTGTGCCCCCTAGAATACATGACCTGAAGAAAATGTGTACAAAGTGTTTGCTGAGTGAATAAATGAATTAGAAAGTCAGAGACTTGGTGCAGGAGATGTTGTTATACGGGTCACAGGAGCTTTACAGTTGAACAAGTCTGAGGTGACACTGGGAAAGAGGAGGGAATGCATGCTGAAGTTTTTAGGGAAATAGGAGAGGAAGGTCCTTCTTTAAACCTACTCTGTTCTAATACTTGGATTTGGGCTTCGCCAGGCTGTCGGGGCACTCACTTCTCTCCTTGAGGCTGTGGTTCCATTTGGAGCTTCATTGGAAGCTTTTTCACCTGAGAGGCTTACCAAGGTTCTTTTGGGTACTGTTAGAACACCAGCCAACTGAGGCATGGGAAGATTCAAGGACCTCTCAGGGTCCTTTCCTCCTGATGCCTCATGGGCACTGGTGAGCAGTAGAGATACAAGAGGCTAGAGAGAGGCTGAGTGGTATTACAGAGAGCAGGGATGAGTGGGACAGGGCAGGCTGAGGAAGCTCCTGCTACCACCCTGGCCTTTCACCCTGGCACATGAGGTCTCCTTTGTGATTGAGAGAACAAGTCTGTGTGTGGTTTAACACCTGCTTTGAGTCAGAGTAGGAGAATGTTCAAATTGAAAAGATCAAGAGCCTAGTGAATTCTAAACTTTTTGTTCTAACAAAATAATATTATTTAGTCAAAAAAAAGAAACTGTTGAGCAGAACTTCAATACACTAAAGAAATTAAAATGGTTCAGGTGAGATCGAAGGAGAGGGAAGAAATGCTCTTTGTTCAGGTTTCCTCTCATTACCTGTAACAACCTTGTTAGAACCTGAAGCCACTACGCCCTCCTCCATCATGGTACAGACTTAGAGCTAGGGCCAGGCATGTCCAAGTATCTGAGGGAGGAAGCCCAACCAGGAAGTGCTCCCCATGATGCCTTCAGGAGACCCGGGTGTCCTGGAGGAATGGTAACCTAGAAGTAGGCAGCACCCGGCTCTGTGCTCTGAACACTAGGACCACATGAGGACATTGATGTTCCAGTGTCATCCTGACCTATCCCCTCAATTGAAGAAAGAAGAATTTTACCCAGAAAATCTGATAGGACTGAAAGGAAAATCCCAGATCTCAACTTTATATGGACACAGGCCTGGAAAAAGTTGCATGCTAATTAAATCAGTTAAACTAAATGAGATTTAAGGGGACCAGGTAGCCCAGTATCTTGAATATAATTCTTCATTCCTTAGTCAGTTTTTTTTTTGTTTGTTTTTTTTTTTTTTTAGGAATTTAGATCTCCATATGCTGAGATTTCCCAAGACAGGGAAGCTCAGCACGTTTACCTGTTCCAGAAGATGGAGGAGTGACAGATCCTGGGCTGTCATCTTCAGGCTCTGAGACAGTGACAGTGGGTACTGTGTCAGGACTTGGCTTCAGACAGATATCTTGCTTCTCTGGAGAGTTCTCTTGAGTAACAGCTGTGAAAGAAGTTTCGATCTCTGTCAGCGTGATTTTGACTGGGGCAGTGATCAAGGGAGCACTGTGCTGCCCCTCTGAGAGATCATCTGTGTAAGGAGCAAAGGTAGATTCTTCAAATAAGTGGTCCTTGATGACTTTTCCCTCCACAGGAGCTGGTTTGTCAGGTCCACGAACCCCTTCTGGTTCTGTTGAGATTTCAGTGTCTTTGTTCTTAAAATCCAAGTCTTTTTCTTCTAACTCTGGGTGATGCTGCTCCTGACCTTTCCCCTTCTCTGGCCTGGTTATGTCCATGTATTTATAGGCTTCCGCTTTCATCTGGTCCAGGGGGTCGACTAGGATCTTGTTCACTTCAGTGGACTCTGCAGGCGTCATTTCTATTCCAGAATCCGAACTGAATAAGCCACGAGACTCCATCCCAGGCACATCTGGTAAGGAGGCGCCAGGAGTCCCCAACTCCTCAGGGTTCTCTGAAGTGGAGATGTGGCCATTTTCCTTCTGAAGAATTCCAGTGAAATATGTAGAATCCTCCTGGGGTGCGTAAGAGATGTCAGAAATCAGAGACGTATAACATGCTCCTTCCCCATCTTGCCGTGTTGTTGAGGACTGATCCAGGGCACTGGAGACAGCAGCCATGCCTGTCAATCAAAACAGCAACAGGCTGTGAGTGGGGTACCTGAGTTCAGATCTCACTCCTGCCTAACCCTCCAGCCAGCCCTGCCTCACAGAGGAACAGCATCCATTCTTCTCAAGAATGTGCCCTTGGATCACTGGCGGCAAACTAATTTTCTTTGTCTCCCTGATAGGCCACATCTCTGGTGTTTTCTAAGGGGCAGAGCCCAATGACTCATATAAGCTTCCAGGTCCAGAAACAGATTCCAGAGGACTAGAAAAGTGATTTTTAACATCTACTACTTCAACACACAGTAACAATTTAATAAAAAATAAACCCTCTTCCCAGCTAAAGTCTTAATGGCTCTTTAAGTAGAGGTGGAAATGTAGGTAAATTGGAAATACAATAGTGTAGTTGGCTACTCGGGATTTGGGCTTCACCAGGCTGTGGGGGTACTCACTCCTCTCCTTGAGGACTAGTCTTGGAGACTTGAAGAGCTGGGAGGGGCCACAGGAGACCCTTGGCTCTGCCCTGCCTCTCGGGGACTTCTGTTCCTTTTGGATGGGCTCCATCCATTTTATTTTTTAAGGTCCTCAGGGGTCTCCTAGTTCTGGGCCTCACCCCAAAGTTGTTATCACCTTAATGCTGTATTTCCTTATTTCTTCGGGTTCCTCCCTCATTTTGTTTTCCTCTTTCTTCACTCCTCTACTACCAAATGCTTCCTTTCCAGTTAAATCAAATGCTCTCCTTCCTTCCACCGGTGGTGCTAAGGGCAAAACAAATTTCCAAGTTTGAGTCTAGAGAATGTTTTAACCTTGCCATCATTTTAGCAAAAAAAAAAAAAAAAAGTATTAATAGTGAACAGAAAAAGAAACCCCTCTATTGTTTACCCTCTATCTCCGTCTAATGTAACCCGGCAAATAGAACAAGTCCTGGCACATAGTAGGTACTCAGTAAATATTTGTAAAATGAGGAAAACAATTATGAAGTTTAGAATTGTCATAAAATTCTGCCAGAGTATAAAACTAACATTTTTTAAGGATTTACTGTGTGGTAAGCAGTAGAATTTTTACCTACTTCTTTTTAAAAACAATTTAGTGATAATTTATAGCAATTTTGTAAATTAGATTTCACACTCTGAACACCTGTGTACAAACACATCACACATATGCATAAACACATACAACGCACACACAGGATCCACAGTATAAAAGCCCTTGAAACACATTCGAGAATAAACCGGACTAAGGCACCAACTCCTACAAAAATAATCAAAGTAGTATTAGTAACATAATAAGACCAATAGATGTGAGTGCTTGCTACAGCAGTTGTAATTTCAAGCTTTTCATTTATTTTGACTCATCTATTCATTGACTCAATCCTTGAAAGTTGGCAACATTGTTAGTTTCATCTTCTAGATGAGAAAGCTAAGAAACAAAGGGTTAAAGAACTCAGCTGTCCTGGGCAGTAAGTGGTGGAATCAGGATTCAAACCCAACCAATAAGCCAGGAAATCTCTAGGAATGCTTTGCACCTCCTTAAATAAGTTTGTAAAGTTGTTTTTCCCTAAGTAATTTTGCTTTAGCATTAAGAACAATAAATGTAACTTTTGTCTTTCCCTAGCTTCTTGCAATAACATTTTTTTTTTTTGGTCCATGGGGAATGGAATAACACAAAACCTCTTCCCCTGCTTGCACTCTTCTGTCTCAGCATTTTGGCATTAGCTGTTTTCCTTTCTTGGAACTATCTTCCTCCAGATACTCGAATACCTGATTCCTTTATCTCTAAATCTTGGCTCCAATGTCACCTCCTTAAGGAAGAGGAATTAGATCCTGTACCTCAAATCACAACCTGCTCTGCACTCCTTACTCCCTGGGAATCCTGTTCCCTTCTACCCTTCTCTCCTTTTTTTCCCCTTTTATCACTTATCTCCTTCTCATATATTGTATAACCAACTCTTTTATCTACTATTTATCAATTTTCCCTTCTTGCTAGGTATGCTCCAAAAGACAGGAATATTTGACTATTTTGCTCACTAATGTAACCCGGCAAATAGAACATGTCCTGGCACATAGTAGGTACTCAGTAAATATTTGTAAAATGAAGAAAATAATTATGAAGTTTAGAATTAAACATGAACATCAGAGTTATGTGAGAAGACGTGTTAGAAGTTCCCCCAAGTTGCTAATAACACTCACTTCATTCACCAAATGGCCAGATTTGTGAACAACAGACCAGTTCAAATCTGTTCTTTTCAGTTAGGCTTCTAATAGCACTTTCTCAAAAAAAGACTGCCTCAAAACAAACAAACAAAAAAATCACTCAATCGTAAAAGGAATAATAGCAATGATTGGCCATATTACCCAAACATACATTGACCACCAAAAGAAAAGTGATGAAATTTACATCCATGAGTGTACACACACCTTTACCCTATAGAATTCTTAAAATTTATTTCATTATATCACTCAGCCTACAGGTAGACCTCACTGGAGGCAGGGAAATTAATCTGAGATATTTCACTGCAGATATTTGCATCCTGAGATTCTCTGCCACAATTATTTGCAAGTAAGGAGTTTGTCCAAGGGTATTATTAGTCTGGAGGTGTGGTAAGTGAGAAGGGAATGCTCCACTGTCATCATCAAACTGTCCCATTGCATTCCATCAAAAGCTTCCATTGCAGGGGCCACCATAGGGCTCCTGAACACTATCGCCTGTACCAGGCATGCTGAATATCCCTCCAGCCCATTGTCTCCTGACCCCAGAGTTATTACACTCAACACAAAGGTCTCTTGTTCAGCACCCAGACTAGGACTCTGCCCTGTCTGACTGGGTAATCCTTCAACTTTATAGCCTGGTGTTGAAGAGCAGCCTCCCCTGCTCCTCTTACTTACTCTCCACTCCAGGCATGCAAAGCCCTTCACAGTCTCACACTTGTTTGACTAGATTTTCTAGCCTTTTTTCACTCTCCAGTTCAAACATTAAGCTCCAGTTATAAACAGGTCACCACTTCTCTGACACTTCATCCTTCCAGTGTCTACATACAAATCTCCCTTTAACTTCAAGCCATTAAAAATGGCACCTGCCTATAATCCCAGCAGCTCAGGAGGCTGAGGCAGGAGGATCCCAAGTTCAAAGACAGCCTCAGCAAAAGCGAGGCACTAAGTAACCCAGTGAGACCCTATCTCTAAATAAAATACAAAATAGGGCTGGGGATGAGGCTCAGTGGTCAAGTGTCCCTGAGTTCAATCCCCAGTACCCCCAAAAAATAAAAAGAAAAGGAAAAAACAGGTAACAATCTTTAAATGCCACCTCTTCCATGAGGAAATTACTTCATCCATTTGGGCTGCTTATAACAAAATTACCATAAACTAGATAATTTATAAACAACAGAAATTTATTCTGGAGACTGGGAAGTCCAAGATTGAGGTACTGGTAGATTCATTGTCTGGTTTTGCTGTAACCTCTCATGGTGGAAGAAGTGAGGGATCTCTGAATGATCTCTTATATAAGCACAAACCTTATGACCTAATCACCACACCAATGTCTTCTCTTTCAAATACCATCACATTGAGGATGAAGATTTCAACACATAAATTTTGGAGGGGGTACAAATACCCAGATCATAGCACTGACCATACTTCTAGGGCCAGACTCTTATTTTTCTCTTTCCTCACTCTTATAGCACTGAATTTATACTGCTTATGTGGCCTATATGACATATGACATACATGTCCGTGTTATCTTCTAAATTTTTCAGCTCCTGGAGTTTGAGGCTTATGTCGGCATACTATATTATACACAGTAGAGGTCCAATACCAGATGAATAAATGAATGAATGGCCAATCAATCAACCAATCAATCACTAGACTTATTGTAAGCAGCTACTGAGTACAAAGTAGGACTAATTAATGCAAGTTACAAAGAGCACATTTTAACGTGGCATGTGAGAAGTAGGGTAAGAATTGAGTTATTGGCAACGGAGAGGGGCTCCATCTGAGAACAAGAGTGTTCTGATCCTGGTTGACCCTCAGACAGAGGTCAGAATCTGTCCAGGCAGGACCTAGTGTATTGTGGAAAGTTAGATGTAAGAACCACAGAGGTTCTTTTCAACTTGCCATGATGTTTGTATTGATTGGATGTCGCTGTCTGACACAGCTTCCTTACTTCTTCCTTTCCTCTAAAACATAATCAATATAATTTTCCCTGAGATGATGCCTCAGAGAATAACTGAGAGACCAGAATCTTGATTGCATCTATATTTTTTAAGAGACTATAACTAGAACCAACAATTGGGAAGAACTGCTAACCCTGAAATGTTTATATTGCCAGCTTTGTCTCACTCAGAAAGCCCACTACGAAATTCGAAGGACCCCTTTCACACTCTACAAATACTGCCAGCTAGAGGAAGAGGAACAGTCATTTGAGCAAAGCTAGTGCCAATCACAATCCCAAAAGACACAATCCTAAACACCATAGTCCCAAGTGTTGAAAACTCAAAAGATCAAAATCCCTGCAGTCTAAAGTTACATATATATAAAAAATCACAATCTCAAAAGACTAGAATCCCAAATGTTGAAATCCTGAAAGTCCAAATCCCCCAAATCACAATTCTCATGGAATAAAAGAGGCAATGTAGAAAGTTTTGACTGAGTTCTGGGGAAGGGGCTGGCATCTTTTTAGATGTACACAGAATAGCTGTATCCTATGAGATGCCCTGATACCAAAAGATGATGAAGCATGATTTGGGGTATATCTGTGAGAGAGTTTTAGAGATTAGTGTCTGAGTCTCAGTGGACTAGGTGGGGCAAGGTCTACCATGTAGAAAATGGATGTGAATGCATTGTCTGATAAGAGTCATGGCCCTAAAAGAAAGAAAGCAGCTATTCATCATGATGTAATACTTCAAAATATAGCTAATGGTTGTAAAAGTAGGCCAAGCTATGGACTACCGCCAGACAACTGCTTATAATCTATGCCTATAATATAGTTTTTCATTCTCTTTTGTTATTCTTTTCTCCCCATT